ATGGAATGATGATGGATCATTGGCAAAACTTTCAACGTGGAGTCCCGGTTCGAGCCTCATCGGGGCTCCGGCTACTTTTCCGAGTTAGGATCTGGTTTGATTTTAGTGGTTGCGAGCCATTTATACGGTTTTATATCTACATGTCGATTGTCGATTGATTGATTGATTCATTCATTCCTTCATTTAATACATGTCGACATTTAGCATACGAATTGACATCCAGGATCAATCCGATCAATTTACCATTTTCATCAGCGTATTGCCTAAATACCATGCATATATGTGGCACAAGACCTATGGTTGCCTCGATACCGTGCCAAATCACGTTTTGCACAATGCAAAAGTAAATTATATTCGCTGGGTCTTCCGTGCATTGTGCTTAGCAAAAACAGGAATGCAATTGTTAAGCGACGCAAAATGTGCAATGCAGCAAGTGACCACACACACCCGCCCAGCCCCCATGGTCCACCAACACGCCCCACACCACTCACCAGCCCACGCCAACCACCGAGACGAGCCCCTCCCCCCGCACTGGTCTGACGCGACAGCTGGTCTACAAAGCGCTCCACCCGGCGACCCGAGCCGATGTCAAACAGCGTGGGTAGACTGTGCCGCTTCACTCTCGGGTCATGCGGCACAGCCTACCGGTACCAGGCGGCTGCTGCCAATGCTGAGCCATAGGAACCCGGTGGATAAAGAGTAGGGGACCATCAACCTGTACACGACTGTACCTACTGATGATCATGCCACGTTCGTCGTATGATTAGGTACTGGCTACTGCAGTGAAGCCTTTCAAGCATATGTATATTTAAAAACGTCATTTTTTAACCCCGCACGTTGAATAGACGAATGCCGTGATAACAACAGAACAGAACACAGAACAGTCAATGCCTGTTCCAACCCAGATTGCACGAGGTCATCAGCAGTCATTGTCCGTCCAAATGTGTTTTGTTCTTAACTGATACAATGCTGCCATGTATGTATGCACTCCGCATAAAGAAAAGCCTAAATGTGATCGCATCTAGCCCACCCCTAAGTATGTATGTATGTACTGGGCTCAGTGCGGACCACCCCGGCCATCCCACCTACTCCCATACCGTCGCAGCAGCCCGTGAGTCTGCCGCGCCGATATCATATCGGAAACGCGCCGAGTGAAAATACGTGTAGGGGGTCCCGGAAGCCCCAGAGGAGACCGAATAAAACATGACAGATGATGCGGCCGGCCATATGTCAGCCGGGGCTGCCCGGCCTACAAGGGCACTCGATTACTGCCGACAAAGACGGCTGAGATGCGATGGTGGACGGTGGAAATGTGGATGCCGTGTGGCGGTGGACGATGGAATGGCGACAGAAGACGACAGAAAGAGTGGCGGATATGTGGAAACGGGTGGCCGAGAGGCGATGATGGACGGCGGAAATGTGGATACAGTACGATGGTGGACGGTGGAAATGTGAATGCAGTACGATGGTGGACGGTGGAAGGAGTGATGGAGAGGTGGAAAGAGGCGGTAGACGCCGATGGGGAGGTGTCAGGTGGATGATGGTAGAGTTGTGGACAGTGACCGTGGATAGTGGAATCAAGTCCACCGAGAGACGGTTGAAAGCGCTGATGGAGACCGAGGAGGCGGTGACGCGGTGGCAGGCGATGGTGTGATAGTCGAGAACAACGGGGAAGACAGCGCTGAAGCTGGCCGCTAGGTGTGTAATGTGCAGTTTTTCTGCATACTTTTCTTGCTTTGCAGTTCTTCTGCTATGTCAGATTCGTAGTTCATTAATCAATCTGTCCAGTGATAAGATTTAGTATATGAAAACAACACGATTTTGAAGCTAAAGATGTAGTGTGCAATAGGTATTGAAGGTAGTTAGTCATAGGTCACCATTTTTATCAAAACACAGTTATGCATCATTTTTTTGCGCAATTTTCACACGAAAAAGTGTAATGAAAGAACAAGCTGGCTAAGGCTCCATTCGGATTTCGGCCATTTGACGTGATCTCTCTCAGTCTGCAGGACCGAGAGGAAATGGAGCCGCGGCAGCCGACTAGCCCGGTAGTTCACAAGTTGTCCGCCAGGTGATCAGCGACCAGCCTGCAGAGGCGAGCCATATCGGCGGCAACAAATGCACCCGAAAAGTTACACCGATAGTCAGGCGCAGACCCGTGATCATTTAATAAAAAGGCATACCTTAAATGTAAAACCAGTTCATTTTGATGCTTCCTCAATATTTTAATTTGCCCATTCCGAAATTGGGGACGCTTTCACGTTCATGTCTTTTAGCTAAGACATTCTCGAAAAACAAAAACATTGCAACACCACTTTTTGTTATTCCTTAGGTTTTACATCAATGATGTATAAGTTTTACACCCTAGTCACACCCTGTCAGAACACCAGATTTGTGCACAGGGCGTCCCAGATGCCTTGCAATATCCATTTCTCAAGATTTACGTCTCTAATGCTGATATAAACTTTGTAAGGGCGATCTTCTTGCTGCCCTACGCAAAACGTTGTAAGGGCGATCTTCTTGCTGTCATACGCAGACACATGGAAACTTTGCGGATGCTGCCTCGATACATGACTGAACTCAGTTTTGGTGACCACTGGCTCATGGCTGACCCTGGGTCAGCCACAGACAAGAAGGTCACCGGATGGGTCACGCTGCCAGGAGATGTGCACTCATGATCCTTTGCTTTGCATTATTGGACACTAGTGGGTGTGGCTCAACAAGATGTCGCAGAGTTTGTAGTCAACCGTGCCACTATCTCTTGACGGTAATGGCGCTTTTTTAAAATAAAATCATTGACCAATAATGATTGCTTCGGCTGGTCATGCACCCTGCCCTAAGACCCCAGAATCGCTCACACCAATGCTGGTGACAACAGGGGGCACAGTGGGAAGAGATTTCAGCGATAAAACTGACAAGAGGGGGCTCTTCGATGTCAACATAAAATGCACACCGGCTCATGACACGGACAAAACACTTGCGGCCATACAACATAGAGAAACGGTCTAATTTGCTGCAGTAGTTACTAAGCTGTGAGAATAAGCTTGGGGCACGGTGATGGAGTCCCAGCATGATCGATTAGCAGACGTTCTTCCACAATTCGAACCAAGCAACGTGCTGTTGCCTTTTTTGACGGCAGGTACTATCAAATCAGTCAATATTTAGGTCAAATAAAACGGTGGCTGTTCATCATATTGGGACTATCGATATCAACACTGTTCGTTCAAGTACAGCTTGACAACCAGAAATTCTTCAATCTTCAGCATGGTACAGACCCAATGCATGCCGATGCAAGCACACGTGAGATGGCCAGGAAGCTAAAATGAGAGGCCGTGGGCCCTCCCCTACAGTGTTGATAATGATCCAAGTGGCTTTCTATGTTTCCGAAACTCAAACAGCACCTCCGAGTACGTCACTTTCCGCCGGACGAAGAACGAAAGAGCTACGCATGGCACTGGCATCAGCTGATGTTAACGGATTTATTTCGTGACCGTTTCACAATGGCTCAACGTTGGCAGGTTTCTCTGGTTCACGATTTTGACCACGGGAGATAAAATTATTAAGATGAATATGAATGACAAATGACCCGGAAAGCTTGCTGTTATTGTTTTATCTCGATACCGTTAGCGATTTTTGATTATACGAAAACAAGGGTGCTGCTTTTCAGCGCAGCTGTTTGTGTAGATGTTCACCAGGGGTGGAGTATAAGGGGTTTTGGGGGTGCTCGAGCACCCCCTGAAATTCAAAAGTCACTATATAATAGTGCTCCAGGGGTGCTTAAATTACGTCTGCGACACAAACTGTTTTGCGTAAGTCGCGAGTAGAGTGATGCTGCTGGGAAAACGTACCAACCAATATGTGCTTTTCTACGCAAGAATTTGACGCTTCCATTCGCCAGGTGCTAGAAAAGCACCCCCTGGGATTATGACAATTCTCCGCCCCTGATGTTCACACAAGTCAGCAGCGGTTGACTGTGCGAGCAGAACGAAGGCCGTCACTAAAATAAAGATCGTCGATCCAGCGTCAGGGACAATTTTCATGATGCAACGGACGAACTGAAACAAAGGATTCATGGCAAAGCAAAGCCTAGTATCGTGCGTGAAAGTTTCCAGAACTTGGGGATAAAGGCGAAATGTCCGGCAACTCGCCCGACCTAAGCTCAATCGAAAATAATCTCTGAGTGGTTGCGAACGATGGCCTCAACCGATAGGACCTGGCTATCAGACTGGACCCGTTTGAAGGACATCTGAAAAGGCTTGGAGAGAAATATCAGCGTGCAAGCTGTGTAGTTCGGTGATCAGCATGATGCGTCGCATCCAGAAATGAGTCCGTTTTCGCAGTGCTTGTGTCGGTTGTTGAATACAAATTGTTCAGCAAAAATGAAGCGATGAAAACCCAGGGATCGTTAGGCTGCAACTCTTTGGGACACCCTGTACTTAGATGTATTTGCTTCATCTTAACACAGGTTCAGTGACCGTTCTGTTGTTATGCCTGTAAGTTATTTGCGCATGAGAGCTTTATAAGGGTGTGCACTTTTGACTCGGACCGTGTATTGCTAAAACCGTTGCGGATTCCCTCATTTCAAGAGGGATTGAAGCCTCATTTAGGTATAAACAAAAACAAAATTTGGCTTTGGAGTGATAAATTAGCATTTTAAAGTAAGATGAAATGTTTTAAATGTTTTGATTTCGCTGGAAGAATTCCTTTTGAAAACTATACTTCTGATGTTTCTGATGCGCGGGACCGCACCCACCCGCCCTCCGGCGCCCTCGGCATCCGACTGAGCCTCCACGAGGTCTCTCCTCCGGTCCGGCCCCCGGGCTCTGACGTCACTGCACGCTGATTGGCCGGCTCGGCGGGCGTCCGGCTGCCATTGGCCAGCGGTAGTCGGTGGGCGGGCCCAGCGGCGGACCGCAGCCCTCAAGTGGCCTTATCCGTCTCCGGGGGCGGTCCCCCAGGGCGCCGCGCCGCCCGCCAATATCGGCCCGCATCAAAAGTCTATACCCAGGAGTTCGGAAACCAAATAGAGGTGGCGCGTCCGGGGCACCGCGCGTGGCGAAATTGATCCGTCCGCAGCGCGCTCAGTCCGCCCCAGGGACGCGGCGCAGAGCACCGTGGTGAGCCGCGCGAGACGGAGCCCTCTGAGACCGGCTCCTCCTGAGCCGCCGCCGCCGCCGCCGCCGCCGCCCCGCCGCTGGGCTCCTGCGCTAATTAGTCGGACTCCCTGGACAGCCTCAAGCACAGAGTGGCCCACGCGCTAAAAACTCGCGAGCGGTCCCCTGTGACGCGCGGCCGGCGGGACAGGCCGAGGCCACCGAGCCACCACTATGATGTTTGGCCTGCAAGAGAGCAGTCTGCACCAGACGCGCGCGCCTGTCTCTGGCCTCAAGGAGGAGCCGCTCACATCGCGCTCCTGGATCCAGCCCGCCATCGGAGTGGACCAGACACACAGGTGGGTCACGTGTGGGCCGGGTCATGTCAGGTCAGGTCGGTGTCGGCTGGGTTTGATTAGGATGGGTGTGTGGCGGCGCGCCGGGCGTCAGCGGTGGAGTCGGAACTCCCGGCCCCGCCGCCCGGCCGTTACGGAACAGCGATACACGCCACTGACACTGTAGATTGTGGACGGTGGACTGTGGACTTTAGACGGTGGACGGTAAGCAGTGGACTGTGGATGGTGGATGCTTAGCTATGGACGGTGGACTGTAGATTGTGGACGGTAAACTGTGGACTGTGGACGGTGAACGATGGACTGTTAACTGTGGACGATGGATGGCGTATTGTGGACGGTGGACAGTGGACGGTGGACAGTGGACAGTGGATTGTGAACTGTGAACGGTGGACGGTGGACTGTAGACAGTGGACGATGGATGACGTATTGTGGACGGTGGACGGTAAACAGTGGATGGTGGACGGATAATTGTGGATGCTAGGTATACAGAAATGCATGGGCAAATAGTATATAATGGCACAACCAAAATAAAACAAGCATCGCGCATGTAGTTATGTACTCAAATACAGGATGTTATCTCAATAATGACAAATATCCAATATCAAATGCCACTTATCCAACCGGCAAACTTTGCTGGCTTATTTGAGCGTAGACTATTGTATTACTGACATGGAATAGGTAGTCTCGGATTTGGATTATAGTTTTTAAATTGTAGATAAAAACACTTTCATTCGTGTGTATCAAAAGTGTAACATCCATTGGCATATTAAGATCAAGTGAAGCAGCTCCGACGTAATGCGATGAAAACAAAAATAGGTATATCATATATAATAACATCGGCAGGCTGTACATCTCTGCTTTTCCATTTCTGATAAATTCAGCACGTCATTTTAAATAGATTATGCAGCCTCCAATGTTTTTATATAAAGCACGTCAGACAAAGCATAAGACAGAAATGACAGGAATTTAGTGAAAGGTCAATGGTATGAATATTGAATGTGGAAACCATATAGCAATATTTAGGTTTCTTACATGTCAAATGGTATAAGATATTATTCAGAGCTTCCAATTCTTCAGCAAATCAAGATGACTTCAACTTAGCTCAGACCACGGCCGATAGATTTAGCGTAGTATTCGAAGTTCTACGTACGTTTTGAAAATGGGTTTGTTCCCGTCGCTCCTCTAACCTCCTCCAAGCTCCTCTAACCTCCTCTCGTTTCAAAAAATCGTTCCCGTCGCTCCTCCAAGCTCCTCCAAGCTCATCTTGATTTCACATCTCACCACCACTATTTGCCTCCTCCCTCATCCCAAACGAAAGTTGTTTTTTTTGGAGGAGGCTCTTGCGTAGACATATTTGGCGCACGTAATACAAATGTGAGTTGTTTATAAATGAGATTTGAGGGAAGTGGAAATGATTTTAGTGATTGATGACGATTGGATATCTTTAAATAGTAATGTTTGATATTAATCCAAGGCTATTTTATTAGAAAGCGATTATTATCTCTTGATTTATGTTTGCGCGCCATAAATCGCCGACCGTTACAGCCCGCAAACAGCTGATTTCCTCGCGAAAATGTTCCCGTGGCTCCTCTGAAACGGCTCTCCTCCAAGCTCATCCAACCTCATCCGAGATTTTTTGGGAGGAGCGACGGGAACAGACCCAATGAGAGATGAGCCTCAATGATAAAAATGAATAAACTGAAATTCGCGTCTTACGAAAGGCAAGATGGTCAGTATACACGATAAACATGACAAACGCTAAAAGGTGAAAGTTTTCTACACATTACCAATAGGCAGTGAACTGTGAGAAACGCATACATACACTATTCAGATGAATGTTTCAAGTTTATGATTTTTGACGACTTCTGAACAGGCGCAAATGTTCAAGTGGCAAAGCGGGAATTTCTAGATAGCTGACATGCTTCAGACCGCCATGCTATTTGATCAGTACGAGCAATTCTCCGTAAACCTTATGTGCAATAGTCACGAGTTTTCAATATGGATAGTCAGTTAGTACCTACAAAGTTCGCCTTTGAGCCTCTTGATTGGAGTGCTTAGTTGAAAGGATATGGCCAGTCATTTCAACCCATGCATGGGTCCAAAGGCTTCAATTAACCTGCGTCGTCGTCGTTCAGAAGCTGAATATGATCGGCTGCCGAATGTTACACATGTGTGGCATTACTGAACATCTGATATGGTGGATATGATAGCTTAGATAACATGTAAACGTTATTTTGAGTCTTGCTGGTGAAAAGAAAGGAATCCAACAATAATGCTCATGATACCTACCCATTGGCGCTGCACTGTTTCTTAACATGGGGTATGTGAAAAATTGGAGCTCAAGACATTGATTTACATTTACCTAGATAAACCATATTTGCCGTTGCTGTATGAGCATCCTACGACGAACATTGAAGCGTGTTATATCGACATTATCAATATAATTGTATGCCATTATGCACCCAAAATTCTGATGCCCTCTAAATTAGTCAAGGGCACGAGTTTTAAAATTTAGCTAGACGATTCAATTGAATGAACATCATGCTCACTTGCAGACGCTACGTTAACATTTCACTGGCTTTTACTCAGGCAACAATCACAAGCCCGAGCGTGTATCATTTCAAAATTGTGTACAATCTTGAAACCTACAAATGCTGTCAGTATCTCGACAGTGAGTATATTTCCTTGAAACACGACGTATTTTATAATTAGTGACAGCTTTGTCTCCCCAGTCCGTGCCTCTAGTTGTTTGTTTCTCTGTCGTTTTGCGCAGCGCAATGTTCGGCCCGCAACGCGCCTGGCGGCCGGTGCCCAGCCTTGCGGCACAGCATACTATCAGGCGTACACTACTAGCGACATCTATGGGCGAAATACTAAGCCTCGCGCGTTATCTTTCTCTTGATGGGACACTGGGGCTTGGCGGTGAATAAATAGCATATTTAAGAGACAGCTCGTATCATATAGTTATGAGCAAGCTTTAGCATCCCTATATTACGGTGTTGAAGATTACACAGCTTAGAAGCTGCGTACAATTTCACATTTGTCATTCCTGTGCTCCGTTTTTATTACTTTCCTTCATGTCTTGCAATCGTTTTTTTTTATTAGCATCATAATTACATCAAAGCACATCACCTATATAATATTGAAGCGTCGGAATGGAGAGAGTGTATGGTGTATCAGACACGAATAACATTAATAAATGACTACTTTGAGTACGAATTGTTACACATATAACTGTCAAGTGGTGACTCAGCGCCGACCCGTTCCCTGGTCATGGCACCGGTATCTCCGTACTGGGTGTATCGGCATCGCTCTGCCACCGCGCGTGGCCATCCGCCACTCTCCGTCCCTCAGCTGGGTAGCCGGTTATCTAAAACAGGTGACGATGGGTCCCCGGTGCCATGGTTATCGGTCCTTCAGAGAGCCCACCGGTCTTTCAAAGAGGCCGCGCAACTGCTGTGGTGTGCGCGCTGCACAGTGCAGAGCAGATGATCAAAGCCGATCATTGGTAGTCTACGTAAACTCCGTCTCCAACCAGTAGGTCTGATGTGGTCTGATGTAGCCACAGACTAGTCCACAGACCAGTCCTTGTGGTCTGATTCAGACACAGCTGTACGTCCCAAGTCCACAGACTAGTGTGATACGGTCGCTGATGACCAAAGTCGTACGAGGAATCTTGAACATGACGCATCAAGCATCAAGGATCGAGTGTGTATGTAGCATTAGATTATGCCACCTAAAATATGCGCGTTTACGGTCTAGTATCAGCCGCTTTGAACCAGCGATGAGCTGTGAATTGTGAGTCACATGGACGGCCATAGGCGGTTGTTTTGACCGAAGTAGGATGGTTTATCTTATATCGCGAAGCCGGCGAAGACGAGGATCTGTCTTACCGTCAGGCTGGCTGGAAAAAGTGAGAGCTTTTTATAGCTTTACTTACTCTAGCCTTTACTAACAACTAGTCATGACTGAGAAGAAAAACAGCGGACCACGACTGTATGTAAGTACACATAGCGTCTGTTCATGTCCCGCATCACATATCCAGACGCGCTGCGCGGAGCTCTGGATCGCTCCGATCGCCGCCGGCAAATCCAGTCATGCGCCCACACCGGAAATCGATGGTACTGTTTAATTAATTAGCGTGGTCCGCACGTAATAAGCACGGCACCTATTTTCCGGCGGCGTTTGACTCTTGCCGCGCACGTGCCACGATCGTGCGCCGTGGCGCGCCACGTGCCGGCCGCATTGTTTGTCGGAGGGGTCGGCGCGAGCGGCGTGTGCCACCACTCCTGATTTGATGCACGGCCATTACAGGCGGACAGCGTGAAAACGGCGGCCCTACCGCGTGCGGCCAAAACACGGCAAGGGGCACAGTGTGTTACTGTATGCGGAACCGGGCACGGTATGATGAAACAAAGGACAACGTGCTATTACGTTGTCCGTGCACTAAATTACGTATCTGGACCCACTGGACGCGTCTCGACTGTGATGTCAGAATACGATTATAGGATGGTAACTCCTGGTAACTCGATTGTAGTGTATCGAGTACCTAGTGCATCGGGTGTCCGAGGCTCGGCATCGGGCCCCCGGTAATACGAGTGTGAGGCGGCCGCACCCTGCTCGGCTCGAGTCAGAGCCAGCAGTCGAGAGGCTCCGCCCGGCCGCACAGCACGACAGTGCCTTAGTGTTTTGCACCGCGAGGTTGTGAGAATACATCGGAATCCGGAGACGGCGGTGGACACTACATCTGGCGACGAGGATGAGATCCTGAATACTACCGACGATGAACGTCGAGGGGGTGTCGCCGCCAACTCCGTTCCTGGCGAGACCAGGAAAACCAGCACTGCCCTGGAGTGACTGGATTTTCAGTTTCCACAACTACCTGACTGCCCTGGGAGGTGAGGCCTACAGCACGGAGAGGAAGACGGCTCTCCTTCTGCACTGTGTCGGCGCCGAGGCGCAACGGGTGTACCGTACCCTACCGGTCCAGCCGAGGAGAGAAG